AGTCACTGTAGCTGTTATCAGAGATCTCAGCACCCTACTGTCCACCCTCCGGTCTCTGGGTTTTCAAGACCGTCCTGGCTATCCCTGACTTTCGCATTCCCATATACTTTTAAAATTTGGCTTGTAAATTTCTACAAAGATCCCAGCTAGGATTTGGGGTTTGGAACAGCACTGAATCTGTGAGTACTTTGGGGAGAATTTGCTGTTCTACATTATTAGTGCCTTCTGGCCCACAAAATGGCATCTCTCTTATTGGAAATCCTTTAGTGACTTCCCATCCCCCAAATTTGATTCCAGATTTGCGGAGGGCTCCGGCCTCACCTCCTGACTCTCTGCTCCGTGTCCTCCCAGCCCTTCTCTCCTGATCTTTTGAGCACACAGGAGCGGCTCCAGCTGTGGCCTTCCCATGGGGAACCCCTCATGGTCCAGAGGCAACACAGAGTAGTGGTTAGGAACAGGGGCCTCTGCGTACACTAGCTGTGTCACTGAGCACGTTGCTTTACTTAGGAAACAAGTTGCCGTGCTGGTTCCTTGTCAGCAGCTGTTGGTTGGGAAGATGAAATGAGTGGGCAGATGTAGAGGCCACGACTGCGCTCGGCAGGCTGAGGGGGTAGCTCAGTGGTAGAGCGCTTGCCTGGTCTGTGTGGGGCCCTGGGCTCAATCCCCAGCACCAGACATGAAAAAAGAATCAAAAAGACAGCGGCAACAACAAAACAGTGCTCGGCACAGGAGAAGAACTCAGGGCTTTGCTGTGTCCTCCTTCCCCAGGAGCCTCCCGGAGTCTGTTATTCCAAACATTTCCCTTGAGGATTCTAAAGCAGCCAGTAGCCATCTGCCTTCTTCAAGCCTGATGCATCCCCCACCCAGTTAGATACTTTTTTTTTGGGTGGGAGGTACTGGGGATTGAACTCGGGGGCACTCGACCACTGAGCCACATCCCCAGCCCTATTGTGTATTTTATTTAGAGACAGGGTCTCACTGAGTTGCTTAGAGCCTCACTTTTGCTGAGGCTGGCTCTGAACTCCAGATCCTCCTGGCTCAGCCTCCCAAACCTCTGGGATTAAGGTGTGCACCACTGCGTCTGGCCAGTTTAGATACTGAGTAGGATGTCAGTTTGCTCTAACTCTACGTATAAACTAAGTCTATAAAATTACACTGATGAGATTTGGTAAAAATCCCAGATAAGCCTCAGTATGTCACAGTAGAACTTGACTCATCATCCTGGGTACAAAGATGACCCTGTTTTTTTAGTTTCCAAGGTAACTGCTTGGTCTCTTCCACCCTACACTACCCTCTTAGCCAAACTCTTATTATCTTCTTGAGGTCTTTACCTGTCCTGGAGTTGTCTGAAACCCTGGGGGCTTCATGACCATCTGGGGTGGACCTCTTTTCTCCAGCTAACCAGAAAGCCTGTCTCCTTTGCTGCAGGGGCTTCTGGACACCACCAAGTGCTGCTTCCAGTGACCGGCCTCCGTGATCAGAGAGATGGAAGACTGGGAGGCTCGTGTGTCACAAACTTACCCTGGCCTCAGGGTGGGTGTGGGGGGAGTTGGGGTGAGTATTAGGGAGGCACCAAGCTTGTGGCTGTTTGCCAAGCACACTCCCTTGGAGTGTCTGGATGTCTCACTCCACCTCCGACAGTGGACTTCTGGGAGGCGGAATGTCATTCAAATATCTTCTGACCCTCTTCTCCCCAGCACTCAGCCCAGGTACAACGAGAACCCTATGACATGGCAAAATTCTGCAGAAATATCAGTATGAAGCCAGAGTTGATATTAAAATATATCAACTAAAGGCTACCCAAGGGTCTCACCAATAATGGATCAATAAGACCTTTTGACACATGCCAATGATTATTATATGGCCATTGAAATTCAGGCTAGCCTTGGTTAAGCGAGTGAGAAGATGTCTAGAACACAACATGAAGGGGGTAGTTACAGCAGGGCTGTGAAGGAATTGTCCCTGTGTACTGGCATGCCACGTAGGGCAGGTGGAACTGTTGGTGAGACTGTACATAGTACAACTACTATGGTAATCAGCATGGAGGCTCTTCAAAAGACTAGGCGTGGAACCACCATGTGACCCAGGTCTACCACTCCTCAGTATTTATACAAAAGAATTAAAGTCATCATAATGTAGTGGGTCCATGCACACCCATGTTTATAGCAGCACAACTCACAATAGCCAAACCAGCCTAGGTGTCTGTCAGCAAGTGAGTAGATAAAGAAAATGTGGGGGGGCTGGGGATGTGGCTCAAGCGGTAGCGCACTCACCTGGCATGTGTGCGGCCCAGGTTCGATCCTCAGCACCACATACAAAGATGTTGTGTCTGCATTATTAAAAAAAATTAAAATTAAAAAAAAAAGAAAATGTGGGGTACACATACCATGGAGTTTTACTGAGCCATAAAAAAGAAGTTGTGTCATTTGCAGGAAAACGGATGGACCTTGATAACCTTACATTAAGTGACATAAGGCTGACTCCACAGGGTCATATGTTTCCTCTCCCATGTGTAAGGTAGAGAGACAAAGCGGGGACAGCCAGGGGGACCAGCAGAGGGAGGAAGGGAATGAGGGGAGGGAGAAGGGGAAGGAACTAGTGATGAAACTGACCAAATTTTGTTCATGTACGAATATGTCTCAATGAAGCCCACTACTGTATACAATTATAACACCAATAAGAAGAGGATGATCTATTGTTGTTGTTGTTGTTCAGTAAATGTTGGGCAGGGTGTTTATTTATACACGGTGCTGAGGATGGAACCCAGTGCCTCACACATGCCAGGCAAGCACTCTGCCACTGAGCCCCAGCCCCAGCCCCAGCCCCAGCCCCAGCCCCAGCCCCAAAAGAGGATTAAAAAAAAATCAGGCAGGAGGGGTAAGAGGAGTAGGGTCTGACTCCCTAGAAAGCCATGGGTTAAAAATGGGATTTGTTTTGCGAGACCAGTTATTATCCAGCAATTGTCCAAGGATGAGTCACACTGGTCTCCTAAAGCTGTTAATTACCTGACTGCCAGGTTTTAATTTTATTTTTGTTTCTTGATTGTACATACTTCAGTGGTGAATGTTTTCCTTGATTATTGCTTTCAAAACCTGGTTAATGAAGTGCTTGGGATAAATTCCCAGGGAAAGGAGGGCTGAGTTGAAGGTATTCAATAAAAAATTCTCTGGGCCTCTAGTTAGGTATGGCCAAATTGTTTTACTTTTTTAGAAATCTGAGTCACATTTTTAGTTCAGAAATTACAAAAGTGTAAGCCAGATATGCTGTCATATGCCTGGGATCTCAGCTACTTGAGAGGTTGAGGTAGGAAGATCACAAGTTTGAGATCTTGACTCAAATTTAAAAAAAAAGAAAAAGGAAAAAGAAAGGGCTGGGGATATCTCTCTGTGGCAGAGCACCTCTGGGTTCAATTTCTAGCAAGGGGAGAGAGAGAGAGAGAGAATGAACCACTTGTTTGTTGAGGAAATTGTTATAGGTCAAAGTGGAAAAGGTATTGGCTTAAGTATTGGCCTATAATCATGATGATTCTGGTGCTAGGGACGAACCCCAGACCTGGCGCATGCACCTCCAGCCTTGGTGGTCTCCCAGCCTTCAGGATGCCCGGGGGAACAGCCCCTGGTTCAGCTGCTTATACTTTGGCGCCCTCTTCTGGGGGATTCACGCATCAGCCTGTGTGGGCCTCCCAGGGAGCTGTGTTTGGGGTTGGGGGTAGGTGGAGGGGGGGCGCTGAGAGAAGGCTTGGGCTCGGGTGAGATGGGGAGGGGAGCTCACCTGTCACTCAAAGGCCCCGGTGGCATCTGGGTGGAGGCCAAGCCTCTGGGCCTTGCCCCACTCAGAGTAGAGCCACTTCCACATTGCAGTCGGTTATCTCCTCAGGGACAAAGCTGGTCCACCCACCCACCACTCATCACCCACCACCCACAACTCATTAAACCCCTCTCTTCATAAAGAAAAATGAGATTATGGCATTTGCTGATAAATGGATGGAACCGGAGTCTATCATGCTAGTGAAATGGGCCAATCTCAATAAACCAAAGGCGGAATGTTCTCTGTAAGGCACAATAAGGGGGAGGGGAGGGAAGAATGGAAGTGCTTTGGATTAGACCAAGGGGAAGGCAGGGAAGGGAGGGGGGATGGGAATAGGAAAGACAGTAGGAAGAACTGGACATGAGTTTCTGTGTTCACCTATGAATAAGCGACCAGTGCACCTCCACATCATGTTCACCCACCGGAACGGGAAGTCACACTCGTCATGTGTAATATGTCACAATACCGTCCACTGTCGTTTGTACCTGGAGAGAACAAATGAAGGAAAAGCCCTCTTAGCCTCTCTCCACGCACAGCTCAGAGTTGCAGCTCTCTCTCGGAGTCTAGGGCCCTTCGCCTCTGGTTCATGTGCTGCTCCAGCCTCGTGTATTCTTACTGCTTGTGGGTGCCCGGCTCTGTCCCCTGAGCAGGCCTGGCTCTTTCAGACCTCCAAGCCTTAGCCCACACTGGTTTCTCTGCAGGAAGCCCCTGGGCCTCCACTTCTCATTGCAACCCACCACTTCTTCTCAAGTCCCGACTCAAATACCACCTCTCTAAGGAAGTCTTTCAACTCCGCAGGCAGAAGGCGCGCCTTGCCAGGCGGCTGGGTCTCCCTGCTCATGTCACTGAGTGCATCGTGACAGTGCATGATTGTCCCTTCACTCATCACCACCCTGTGGGCTGACCCGTGTCTGATTTATAATGCCTAGCAGAGGGACTGGCACACTGTAGGTACTCTGAAATATGTGTTGAATGAATGAATAAATGAGTGTGCCCTGGCTGTGGAGTTTGGAGGTCACTAATTGCAGGAGGACATCTGACAACAGTGTGTCTAAGTGTGTGCCCGACCCCACCTAAGCCCTGGCACCGGGAGGATGAGCTCTGAGGCAGGAGATAGATAATGAGACCTTGGTGATTCTTAGATACCACAGATCCTGCTTCAGGGGCAGGTGGGTCCCTGAAACTGGATGAGTTCATCTTAGCAATAAGGGTTGTGACGTCACGTCAGGAATGCTGCTGAGGCTCCATCCTGCTGTTGAGGACCGGGGAGAAGCACACACTGGCATAATAGGAGGCACCAGGGATGCGCGGGATGTGGGGCCTGGTGGGGGGTCCCCTGCTCACACAACTGCCTCCTGCCTGAGCTCGGGAATCTCCGGGATCAACACAGGCTGTTCTGGGAATCCAACGGCAACAGGTCAGCATCTCTTCCAAGAGAACCCCAGGGGCAGGCTGGGCTGGGCTGGTGTGAGCAGGTTCTGAGAGCACAGGAGGGCGGCCCACCTGTTTTGGAGAATATGCACGGTGTAGATGGGTGTCCTAACAGCATAACTGTGGGGCCCTAAGCCAAAAGCAGGTGTTTGGGCTTGTTCCCAAGGACATGGGTTTGAATCCGACTCCAGGTGGATCCGTTGTGTGATCTTGAGAAACTTCTTGACCTCTTTGGGTTTCATCTCCCTACCCCCGCCAGGAAAATAGGGGTCATGGTACCTACCTTCTAAGGTCACTGTGAGGATTAAATGGGGTAATGTGTAGACGGTGCTTTGTCGCCTGGCCGGCCCCATAAGGGTAGAAGCAGCGCCCGAGACAAGGTATAGGAATGTGGTCACGATTCCCACCTGCACAGGATTCAGGGAGGACAGCTGGCTCCCCCAAACTGGATCTCATCTCCATCTCTGTAGAAAGTGGGGTGCAGCAGGTGACAGCCTCAAAGTGCCAGGTGGGCACTGCACAGAGGTGGTGGGGGGCCATGGGATTGGAGAGCTGCTGGCATGGCAGGTCCTGGAGAGGTCCACACGGCAAGGGGATGGCAGGCAAAGGTGTCGGTTCCCGTGCTGTCTGTACACTTAAGTGAGAAAGAAAACAGCAGGAACAGGCTGGGTCCCCGAGCATCTGGGTATTCGAATTTTCTGCTTGTGGAACATAATTATTCTTGGCAGGGACACGGATACTGCCTTTTCAAGGATTTTAAATTTCCATCGTAAACAACATAAACGCTGTTTTGTTTCAGAGGGTCTTCAGTTCCCCCTCCTCCTTTGACGGCAGGTAACTCTTAAACCCAGGTGGTCTGGAGGGGAGGAGGACACAGTTCCTGCACCCAGGACGCCTGTCCTCCTCCGTCCAAGTGAAGGGACACAGTTATATCCTGAGACTTTGCTGGAAAGCTTCTTGCAGGTTAGTGACTTTGAGTCGGTTTGCGAGGGGCCAGGGGGACTGCAGGGAGGACACCTGAGACCAGGTGCTGGAACGTGGGCAGGAGGAGGAAGGCAGAAGGTTCTGGAAGAAGCATGCGTCCTGCTGTGGACTGCCCCAGACCAGATTCTCCGCTGTGCCCAGCTGCTCTCCCCTGCAGCCCCAGATCTGCCCCCTGTCCCAGGTTGGAGCCCAGCAGTCATGCCGGACACACCAGTGGAGGAATCCCTTTTCCAAATCATCCACTGCTACCACCAGTATGCAGCCCGCGAAGGGGACGTGGAGACCCTGACCCTGGAGGAGCTGAGGGCCCTGCTCACGGACAACGTGCCCCGCTTCATGGAGACCTTGGTGTGTGGGGTCTGGGATAAGGTGGGGATGAGGAGGGGATGGATATGGGGTTGGCTCTGGGGTTGGAGGGGAGTGTTGGAAGTGAGTGGTGAGGGCGTTGGGAAGGAGCTGACTTCCAGGAGAATCTCCAACTTGCGGAGGGAAGTGAAGGAGAGCAGGGTCTGCCCAGATTCACTTCCCACCCTTCCCTCCCCTGCCTGCCTCACTCCAGTCCAAGGCCCTCAGACCTCACCCCCAGACTGTTTGTCCCTCTGTCCATCTTGTCTGCTGAGCACAGGTCCTCAATTCTTCCCTCTGTTGGCAGGCCCATCTGTCAGCGACTGCCCCCAGCCCTGGACCCCTTCTCCAGCCCTTTGAGCTCAGCTCTTTCCCCTGCCACTCTGTCCCCTGGGCCTGGGGGAGCAGAGATCAGGCTGTGGGGGCCACCCTAGGACAGGCAGGGGTAGGAGAATTAACTTTCCCTCCCACCTCCTGCCCCCTGAGTGTCGCAGATGTGGACGAGCCCCGCCCACCCCAGGGGAACCTTGGGGACTGTAAGGCCCACAAGGATTTTTGTGGGTGCTACCCTCCGCCCTCTGCCCTATCCCCTAGGGTTTCTGAACAGTCATCTCCAGAGATGTGAGATTGAACCACTGACTCAAGGTCACTGTCATGTCCCATCCCTGCTCCTAACTGGGAAAGAGCAGAGGAGACAGTCTTGCCCTCTGTCACCTGGAGTGTACCCCTGAGCATGGGTAGGGGAGCTGGGGTGACTAGTCTTATTTCTAGGACACCTTTTCCTTTCCAGGGAAAACTCTTTGGGGCTGTGCCTGGACCCCCCAGGCCCTCCATGCATGGGGCTCACAGTCCCACTTAGGTACAGGGCCCTAGAGGACAGACACCTGTGGCACAGGTGAGGGAAGCGGGGAGAGCCTGCTCAGGGCAGGAAGCCTCCAGCCGTTCTCTGGCGCCCAGCTTAGTGGTGGTGATGGGGTTATAGGAGCGGAAGATGGTGGTGGGAGAGAGGCCATGGATCTGCCTGCAGGGATGAAGGCCTGCCCACAGCCCCACGGCTGCCCACAGGCCACAGCCCCCTCCCCTGAGTGCTTCCCAAACGCCCCCCAGGGTGTGGGGGTGCCACGCCCACCGGCCAAATCTTACTGAAATCTGCTTCCCCTGCCACTACCCACTGCCTCGCCGCGCCCACCCGGCCTGACCCGTCTCCTTGCTGGGCTGAGGCCACTGACTTTCCTCCCGTTGTCCCCTCCTCTATCAAACCTCAGTCCTCAGGTCAGGGATGCAGCATGCGATGTCCTAGTCAGCGTTTCCTGCAAGGCCCTTGTGGGCAGGGCGCTCTGCTGTTACCCTGCAGGTGGCTGAGGCCTGGTGAGAGGGCTGCATGCTTGGAGGGTGGTTGACCCTCTTGCCCCTCTTCAGGGTCGGAAGGAGCCGCGCTACATCGCGGAGTTGTTCCGGGCAGCAGACAAGAACAAGGACAACCAGGTCTGCTTTGAAGAGTTCCTGTACATCCTGGGCCAGCTGGCGAAGGATTACCACCTGCGGTACCACCGGCAGCTGTGTGCCCGCCACTGTGCCCAGCAGAGCCTCTACTAGGGCCGCTGGAGCCTGCTTCCAGGAGGAGCGTGACCTGGCTACGGGGCCCGGCAGAGAACTCTGCTGTGTGTGCAGCTCACTCTTGTGCAGCCTCACACTCATTTGGGGTATTAGTCTCTTCTTGGTTCTGGGTACCATTCATGGATGGGAGATTCAACTTCTGCCTTCAAGAGGCCCCTGTCTGATGGAGGAGGCACAGCCCCGGAGCCCACGTGTTCTTGTTTAAGTGGGGACACACCCGGCCCTCGGCTCTCAGACTGTGAGAAGGAGGCTCTTCCTTTGGGCAGTTGACCCTCTAATAGGAAGCCGTGCCTCCCCAGTCATGTTCCTGATGACTGTCTCCCTGGACAGAGGGGCAGAAGGAGAGCCACGTGGGCAGAAGTACACTGGACATTGTTTTTGAAGGTGTCCCTGCTCAGAATGAGAGCTTCAATGACCCTGTATATAAAGGGCTTGGGGAGGGACCAGGGTGGGGAGAGGAGCACATTTTAAGGGGAACGGCAGCGGAGACACCTGTGGTTGCCCAGGACAACAGAAAGTGGGCCTGGGAATGAATCTCCAAGGGGAATAAACCCAGTTGTGTTTGAATAGGTGGGTCTGAGAAGCCTCTCTCTCTCTCTCTCTCTCTCTCTCTCTCTCTCTCTCTCTCTCTCGTACTGGGGGACTGAATGCAGGGCCTGGCTGTGTGTGCTAGGCGAGAGTTCTGCGCTGAGCTGCACCCCAGGTCCAGCACAAGACCCCAGCAGTCCTGGAAGGCCCGTTTCTGGGGTGGGACTGTACCTGGGTAATGGACCCCCGAGGGGCTGTTTAAGGTGGAGGTGATCAACACTCCCCCAGAGGCTACCTGGGGACCCCGGGGGATAGGTCAGACAGGGGAGAGGCTGGGGAGCCATCGGGAGGCTCCTGCACAGCCTGGGCCCAGGCCAATGAGGAGGAGGTCAGTGGCTGTAGGCAGGGAAACAAGGGAGGGCGTAGACACAGGGGAAGTGGGGACATCGAAGCCTCACACCTGGGTGACAAACTGAGGAAGGGGGGTCCAGAACGAGGCTGATGTTTCAGGCGTGGGTGACAGAGGGGAACTCGTGCTGGAAGTGGCGCTGGCATTTGGTGTCGGGGTGGGGAGCCGTTGTTCCAGGGAGGATTGTGCCTTAGGCTTTGTTCCTGCTGAGTCAGAGGTGGAGACGGGTTAAAGAGGACAGTCAAGTCCGGCAGAAGGCAGACTCCTGTCATAGGAAGGGCAATGCGTGGACCTGAGACTGTCAAGCAGAGAAGACTTCCTGGAGGAGGAAAGGTCAGGTCTGGTTTTTACCAATATAACCTGATGACGGATGTGGTGTCCTGTCTCTGAGTTACTCGTGACTCGATGGTCCAAGCCCTCTTGTGGTCCCTGACCCCTCCCAACTGAGACCTGCCCCTGCCCCATCTGGGTTGTTTCTGTCTCGCTCTCCCCTGGAGCCCGGGAATTGGAGGCAGAATTCCTCGGGGAGGGTCTCATCTGCCTTCAGGCCCCGTCGGAGACCACCTTGGTGGGCTTCCTTTTCTGAGGATGGGTCTGGGAACTCATGGCCTGAGCTTATTGTGATCAAAAGGATGGATTTAGAAAGAATGACGGGCCACCATCGCATGCTCACCTCTGGGAAGCCTTTTGTACCCCATTTCCCTCTGGGTCTCTCCCTATCCAGGGGCACTTTTTCGGTACTGAGGATTGAGCTAGGGACAATCTACCTCGGAACCTCACCCCCAGCCCTTTTTATTTTGAGACCGGGTCTTGCTAAGTTGCCCAGGCTGGCTTTGAACTTGTGACCCTCCTGCTCAAGGGGCATGCTCTGTTCACTGTAGTTGTGTTTCACTCTCTGTATCCCCAGACCTGACCATGAACTTGACCCTGAGTCAGCGCAGGGCTGGCTCAGCATGTGTCAACAGGGAGGGGTCTGCTGGCTGGGGACCCACGATTCCCCCTCCCGCAGGCAGGCCCCTTGGTCAAGTCCTGGTCCTGTTATGGAGACAGAGTATTCAGACCCTCAACGTCCAGGGCAGAGGACGTTGCTGCCCGTCTCACCTGAGCTCTGTGGGGGCTCTCGGGGCTCTGAGGACTTAACAAGGGCACCGGGTTGGGTCCTTTGGGCCTCCCTTCACCCCCTTTCTGGGGATTTCTCCACCACTTCTGCCTGCTCTGTCCTCACTTCCTCAGCCTGGGGATGGGCTGAGTCAGTCTGTTGGGACACATACTGGGGACTGGGCCTTTCCTGTAAACATGGCCAGGTTCCGCTCCGCTAGGTTACCCCATGTCCCTCAGGCTGATTGCAGGTTCTGCCTTTCCCCCAACACGTTTGCCCAATTCTTGGCACCCATCTCCTGCCAGCTCAGCTCAGCCTCCTCCTCTCTCTGCAGCCCCCACGTCTACCTATCAGAGGGCTCTGTGGGTGACCGTTCATGGTGTCCCGGGCCAGCCTGCACAGGATGCCATAAGGCAGCCCCCACTCATGACTGCCTTTAGTCTCCTGAGCCAGACCTGGAGGAGGACCTCAAGCCACACCCCATGCCTCAGTTTCTCCATCTGTCACACAGGGATAATGATACCAGTGACACCCACTTTATAAGGTTGCTGGGGACATCAAGTGAGTCAGTGGATGTAAACACATTTTGAAAATATGTGACACTTTGGGATAAGGTAGTGTATGGCAGGTCATATAGGATTGTCCCTGACGAATACTATATACAATTTAAGGGCTGACCACTGGTTGAAAACTTGTCCTGGTATATGGCAGAAGGGGCACTGTAGTCTGACCTAGAGGCTGATTCACCTCTTGTCAGAAAGTCAGAGTGCATTTGGCTGATGGATTCATACGCTCTGCCTTCTTCCCCAAATGGCTAAGTGTAACGAAGGGAATTTTTGCATTGGGTAAAGAAAACACTAAAATTCAATTTTGTATTCATTTATTACCTAGAGGTGTGGAAATAAGTGTAGGTTCTCTTCTAGAGGGTTTCCCAGTGCCAAAGAAAAGGGAGACCACAAACAGGTGAATCCTAGAAAGTCAGGGCTGATGTCGTGACGGGGAGGGGCTTGGGCGGCACAGAGGAGAGAAGAACTAACCTGCGTATATGGGGGCTGTGCGCGGATCAGGTGGCCTCAGAGCTGGGCTGGGAAGGATGAGAAGGATGTCACGAGGATGAAGAAGACTTCCAGGCAGTGTCACATCGTATCCTGAATCTCATTGTTCTCTCCGTGGACCTCGGTTTCCTTGTGTGTACAATAGAAATTGCAAAGTATGTAACTCATAGGATTATTGTGAGAGTTAGATGAACTGATGCAAATGAAGCACTTATGATGATTCCCGACATAGGACACAGACTCAGCAAATGTCAGCTGTGATTTTGCGATTATTTGTTTGGGTGTGCTAGGCATTGTGCTGGGTCCTGGGGTCAAGGGCAAAGATGCACAGTCTGGCTCTGGAGGGCTCACAGCACCAAACATAGTGTGTGTGTGTGTGTGTGTGTGTGTGTGTGTGTTAAACCTTTTATTAAAATATGATGCATAGTAATAAGTCCCAAATTTTCAACTCTGCAAATATTTCAGGGAAATTGACACAGGTGCATTAAAAATAGGTTGTACACCATGAACTAGAGCTTATACATCTTTTATGATCATTAAGAACAAAAGTCTGGCCAGGCACAGTGGCACATGCCTGTAATCCCAGCGGCTCGGGAGGCTGAGGCAGAATTGCAGGTTCAAAGCCAGCCTTAGCAACTTAGTGAGATCCTAAGCAACTCAGTGAGACCCCGTTTCTAAATAAAATATAAAAAAGGGCTGGTGATGTGGCTCAGTGGCAAAGCCTCCTTGGGTTCAATCCCTGGTGCCACCCTCCTCCAAAAACAAAAACAAAAAAATCTGTCCGTGTATGGTGGCACATGTTTATAATCCCAGTGACACTGGAGGCTAAGGCAAGAGGATCACAAGTTTGAGGCCAGCTTGGGCAACTTAGTGAGACCTGTCTCAAAATAAAAAGGGCTGGGGATGTGGCTCAGTGGCTCAGAGCATCCATTACCAAATAAAGGGAGGAGGAGGAGGAGGAGGAGGAGGAGGAGGAGGAGGAGGAGGAGGAAATGAAAATATAGATTGGTTTATAAATCTATAAAAGGGACATTGGGACAACATAGTAATATACATATATATGTGGCCTTATAAATAGAAGATTGGGCAAATATGACATGTGGGATGATGGGTCAAAATGTGCCAAGAAAAGTGTATAAGTCATAAGTTTTTTGGATCTATTATTAATTCTCACAAGGTATAATTCTTTTTGTAGATGGAAGCATTTTAAAACAATTTAAAAAATTATTGTGGCACAATATATATAACATTACATTTATCATCTCCACCGTTTTTAAGTGTACCTTTCAGTGGTATTAAAAGTACACTCACATTGTTGAACAATGTATCTCCAAACTCTTTTCATCTTGCAAAATTGAAACTCTGGACCCATCGAGCAGCAACCCTCTATTTGCCCTCCTCCCAGTCTCTAGCATTGGCCCTTGTACTTTCTGTCTCTATGGATCCGACTCCTCTAATGATGTCATATAAGCGGAGTCATACGGCATTCGTCTTTTTGTGATAGGCTTATTTCACTTAGCATAATATCCTCAAGGTTCATCCATATGGTATCAAATGTCAAGATTTCTTTCCTTTTTAAAGTCTGAATAATATTCCATTGTATATATGTATTTGTTTATCCATTTACCTGTTAACGTCCTCTTGTGTTTCTCCCCTCTTGGCTCTTGTGAATTATGTTGTATGAGCGTGGGTGTACAAATACCTTTTCAAGACCTTACTTTTATTTTTTCTGGTATGTACCTGGAAGTGGAATTGCAGGATCATGTGATAATTATGTTTATTTATTTATTTTTTTTTTGAGAAGCCACCATACCATTTTCTTCAGAGCCGCCAAACCATTTTACATCCTCATCCACAGCACACAAGTCTTCCGATCTCTCTAGGTCTTTGCCAACCGTTGTTACTTTTTTTTTTTCTTTTCCTTTTTCTTTTGGTGGTACTGAGAATTGAACCCACTGAAATATACTTCCAAGTCCTTTTTATTTTTTATTTTTGAGACAGGATCTCTCTCACTAAGTTGCCCAGGCTGGTTTTGAACCTGTGATCCTCCTGCCACAAACCTTCTGAGTAGCTTGGAGTCATGGGCCACCTTCTCAGATGTTTTTTTCATGATAGTAGCCCTCTTAACAGGTATGAGGTAGTATCTCGTTCTGTTATTTTATTTTTTTAAGATGGACACAATATCTTTAATATTATTTTATTTATTTTTATGTGGTGCTGAGAATCAAACCCAGTGCCTCACGTGTGTGAGGCGAGCTCTCCTACCGCTGAGCTGTAACCCCAGCTCCTCCTTCTGTTCTGGTTTTGATTTGCATTTTCCTACTGATGAGTGATTCTGAGCATACTGTTCATGTGCTTGTCGGCCATGTGAACACTTTTTGTAGAAATATCTATTTAA